TTCGACGGAAGGTTAGTGTTTTGAACTATTTCCACTTATTTGTTCTTGAAAGGAACTAGCTTTTGTCTAAATTTGATGTTTTTTTTTGTAGTCTAATTTTCTGTTTGAGTTTTTATTGTTTGGTTTCATTGCTTGAAGTTGAATTATAAGAAGAAATTTGATTTATAGATGATGTGTTGATATGGAAATGTTTCCCACGTTTTTTCTGTGTTGTGAAGGGACAGAGGAAGTTGCAGAATGAGCAGCCACCGTAGAGAACCAATTGTTGTAAGAGTCTGGCTTTTGAGTTTCACGCTCTCTTTCTTTTTTTTTGTGGGAACAAGAGAAAATGTGTATTTAATTTAGTTTTTTTCAAAGGGATCGCATTCCCAGTTTCTCTTCTCATGGTTGTGTCAAATCCTCAAGGATAGGAAACCAAAAGGGAATGAAATTAGACACATTGACCCTAGCCATATGATGGTATCATCTCTCTTTGATGCTAGTGATCCAATCAGGCCGTAGTAACAGATAGCTTTGATAACAACTGTCAGGGAACATGTCTAATACTGTAAAAAACTTGTGATGGGTCATAAATATGATTGGCTTAAGAACAGAGCCTAATCTGTAAAAGCAGGGAAATAGATTCAAAATCTATGAAACTCTAATGGGTCAATAATATGTCAATTGGAAAAATATGGAGGTAAAAACTGTAAGCAACTAACTTCCTCAATCTCTTACCCGTTTCCTGTTTTGTCTTCTCCATCCGTCTGTACCATTCCGACGCCATGAGGAAAAAAAAAACTGAAAAACCAAATGGAAACAAACAAAAAATAAAAAAAGGAGGGAATTTCTAAATCTGGAAAAAACCTTCAAAAATCTAAATTGTTTTTGACTGGTTATTGTTTCAAATGTAAGCTTGACCTCTCTTCTCGATTGATTTTCGCTTCTTCCATTAATCTTTTAATTATTTTGTTTCCTTCTGAATTTACGTTTCGACTCAAAAATTCCAACTTTGAATTGTTCATTTCTCTTTCAATCAGTAAGAAAACCCTGAATAGCTTTGGATTATCCTCTTTCTGAGATTCAGGGTTGATTAAAACATGGGCATTGATGCAAAAGATGCCGGAATTCTCTTGTGGAAAATTCTCAGAGTTTCAACGAACACTGTTTATACATGCGTAAGAAAATACCCAATTGTTTCTGGTGTTTCTGCGGT